CACACACACACACACACACATTCACTCACACACACACTCACACACACTGTGAAAACTTCCAGGACCGTGGTTTCATGAACAGGGTGAACTCTATCCGCGTGGAGAGCGGGGCCTGGGTGTGTTTCTACCATCCCGATTTCAAGGGACAGCAGTACATTATGGAAAAAGGAGAGTATCCCGATTTCCAACGTTGGAATGCCCACAATGATCATATGGGCTCCTGCAAGCCAATCAAAATGGTGAGGATGAAAACACTTTATGAAAAGATATGTCTTTTCATGCCATGCTCACACACACACACGCACATACTCTCTCTCTCACACACACACACACACACACACACACACACATACGCACACACTCACTCACACGCACGACATGATCATATCATGCCAACTTAAATTAAATGTGAAATGTGAAATTTTGAAGTGGAAAGACTGCAATAGTTTTTTTTTCCCCTGTAAAACATACTCCAATAATCTTTGTTTTATTTACAACTCTAAAAAAATCCAAGTTGCAACATGCCTCATTTTCATTTACTGTACTGTCGTTTACTGTAGTTTAACTCAACCTAAAACTGAAATAAAAATTTAAAAATAAATAGAATTTTAAAATACATAAAAAGTAAAAACATATATTTAACAAATTATAAAAAATGATAAAAAGCACATTAAAATTACTAGAACTAACTAAAACTAAAATAAAAACAACATTACAATAAAAACGAATTCAAAATATTAATAAAAACTATAAAAGTATCTCAATACTAAAATAACATTGTGCATTATACTAATCACTGTACTCCACTCTATTCAAAGAGTATTCAAAGAAAATCTGCATTCTGCAAACAATATATGCTATTGTAGTATGCAAGTATTTCATGCTGTCAAGGGTCGAACTTTTGACCTCTGAGATTTCTGTCTTGACTGTATGATTTTTTTCAAATGTGACACTCAATGTGCTTGTCTGTGTCTGTTAGCACGGGGAGCACTACAGGATGGAACTTTTTGAGGGCCAAAACTTCACCGGTCAGTGTGTTGAACTGTGTGACGACTGTGCCTTCCTTCAGAGCTCCGGATTCAGCAAGAACGGCCTCAACTCCATTAAAGTCTATGGAGACGGAGCATAAGTTCTGCATGACCAAACATCAAACAATGTTTTATTAGGCAATCAAAGACTGAAAGCGTAAAATATTCCAAGGTCCCATAGAGCTTGAATAATTACACAAAAAAATGCTCAGAATAAGATGATGCTGTTTAACCTCAACTTCAGCAAAATTGTAGATCGTTTAAAGCAATTAATTATGTTTTAATTAAAGCTCAGTATCTTTTTAATAAATTATGCTAAAATATTTGCATCAAGTTATAAGTATGCGATATTAAAAGTATGCATTTAACTCATAATGCATTTTGCATTTAACTCATAATGCATTTTGCATTTATTGAGTGAAAAATTGCAGCCTAAAATAATGCAATTTAAATTATGCACAAATGCAACAGCGGTCATCCATTTTTAATGTCATGCACACAGGAGAGCCAATTGCAAATAAAATAAATAATAAATAAAATGTTTCTTTCTCTCCACCGGTTTAGTTGGGTCATGTACGAGGAGCCGAACTATCGTGGCCGCATGTACGTTGTGGAAAGAGGAAACTACTGCTCATTTATGGATTGGCAAGCTGAGGATCCCAACATCCAGTCTATCTGCAGGGTGGTTAACTATTTCTAAACTTTTACATCCCAAAACAGCCTCACTCTCAAAGGATGTTTCAAAGTATACTTACCCCAAATGATAAACCAAATGAACCTGAACTTTGATTTATATTACTGAATCACACAGCTATGTGCTTTTTATCTTTATGGAATTTCAATGATGAATCAGTTATTTGAGAAGAAAATGCAATTAGCACAGAAATATTCTTGTATGTTTTATTTTGTATTTGTATTGAGGCAATGAGTTGAAATAAAAGTGAATTGTGAAGAAGCTGCTGTTCTCTCTCTCTCTCTCTCTCTCTCTCTCCTTCAGATTTCCAAACATTCACTGACGTTATAAAAAAACACACTTTTTTTTTCAAAGAAAGCTTTCCCAGTTACCTCTAAACATATATAACCAAATATACCTTAAACACATGCTTTAATATTTTTGATACACACACTTCTCTGCAAAAACACATATGCATTGCAACACATATGCATAAATTTTAGAAATGTTAAGTGTTTACTTGCTGAAGAGTATGAATTATCCACCCTAATTATCCACATGTAAAAACCACCCTAACAACTGCATAGCAACACACTAAAAGCCACGCAGAACACCACCCACATTTTGCCAGTTCTGTTATAATTAAAATCTATTCACAAGGTAATGTGATGAACTTTTGATATTGCAAATATCTCTTCCTTCCTACATTTAGAAATGTATTGCAAAAACATTGCATATGCATATAGGATATTATGAATTTGTCACTTGAAGTGTTGTTATTGGTAACTAAATCTAAAACTAAAACTATTCAAAATATTAATATTTTTAGATTTTCGTTCTATATATCTATATATTAAGTTCATTAATATATAGATTTTCATATATTTAAATAAAGCTGAAATAAAATAAAATATTTAATATTAGATGAAAAACTTAAAAACCTAAATTTAATTAAAAAACTAAAAAATTTAATAATAAATTAATATAATATAAATTAAAGCTAAATAGAAACTTAAAAAACAATAAAAATGACAAAAAGCACATTACTAAAATGTAAAATAAAATTCAAATGAAAACTAAAAATATACAAATAAAAGGTCAATCTAAATAATAATAAATAAAAATAATAAATACTACAATACTATACAAATAATACAAAAATAAAACATGATTGCTTAAAGGAATAGTGCACCCAAAACTAATAATTTACTGAAAATGTGCTGTTTTTACTTGTAAAGTGTGCTTGATCTGTACATATTTCTCTCCTAATTCAGACAAGACTTTTTCAAGAAGTGTTTCAAGAAGAAGTGTTTTCTTACAAACATGCAGCTTTTAACTTCACAGGATGTTAACTGATGGACTGGAGTGGTGTGGATTACTTGTGGATTATTGTGATGTTTTTATCAGCTGTTTGGACTCTCATTCTGACGGCACCCATTCACTGCAGAGGATCCATTGGTGAGCAAGTGATGTAATGCTAAATATCTCTAAATCTGTTCTGATGAACAAACAAACTCATACACATCTTGGGTGTCCTAAGGATGAGTAAATTGTCAAAGAAATGTAATTTTTTGGGTGAACTTTTCCTTTAAAATAGATTTGACACCTGTTGTGAACTTTTTGGAATCAGATGCATGTTCTATCTTTCGTTCACTTCACAGCATCTTCTCTGAGCAGCTCGTTTAAGCTCAAGGTAATACAAAAACACTGTGGCCCTGTTTGCTCCTCACTTGGACAACAGTGCGAGTCTTTGTATTGGAAAGTCTGTGAGAGGGGAATATCCTGGGTTTGTTCATGACAGCTGAGTATCCGGGGGTCTGGGGGAGGAATGTGACCCTCTGAAGTTTTTGTTAGCGGGGTGGGAACAGAACGGACAAAGCCGTGACCTCTGGGGTCGAGCAGCACTAGGGGTTTCTCTCACTCTTTGTGTCGTCGGTTGGTTGTACAGAAGAAACGGCTGACATGCCCAAGATCAGCACTGACTGCTTCACTAAAGATTTGAAACTTTCAGAAGTCTGTCCAGGTCATAAAATAATGTGGTTTAGTACCAGGTGACATGTTTGTATGTATTTGAAAACAGTTCAGTCTAAAATAGCACAGTTTGAACAGTACAACTGAACACAAATTGAACACAGACATGTTAATTTTATTTTTACTTTAGCTTTAGACATTTTATATTTGAGTCCAATGGTAAAGTAGGGTTAATTCTAATGTGTTTTAAAATACATACAAAATATAGTTTAAATAGTGCAAATGAGCACATCTGTAGTATTTGATTTTACTCATTTAGACCATACTATGTAAAAAGCCCATCATATCTAACTATTAAAGTAGTATAATTGTTTGTTGTTCAGGTTTTTGGGACAATATTTCATTATTATTATTATTATTTTGAGTGGGATGTGCCATTACTTGTATCCAAAATCCACAATGTTTTATTTCATTTTAATTTGATTGTATTTTAAATAATATAATAAATCAAGCACATAATTTGTACTATTTTATTTTAATGCTTTAAACTTATAAACCAGTTATATTTCAGATATTTCAGGCCAGTGATGAAACAGGATGTATCCAAAAGTCCATCATATATATTTTAAAATTAAATTATATTTATTAATTATATCATTTTATTATATATTTTATTTTATATTTTACATATTTAAATATATTTTAAACTAGTGGACTGCTAAAATAGTATAATTTTCTGTTGTTCAAATATTAGACCATTTTATTATTATTATTATTATTATTATGAATTTTACATGTAACATTCATTATCTACAAAGTCCACAGTTTAATTTTTAATGTTTTTAATTAAATTAAATTAATTTATTTGTTACTTTTTTCATTTTAGTAAACATTTTGTACATTACGTTACTTTAATGTTATAGTCTATATTTCAGATATTTACGTAAATAATGTAAATAGGCTACGTTTCAGATATTTTGGGCCAGTGATGAAGCAGCATGTATACACAAATATATTTTAAAATAGTAGCCTGTTAAAATAATTAAATTGTCTGTTATTTATTTATGTATGAGCTTTGATTAGGGTGTGATATTAATATTCTCCAGTGGCTCCAGTTTAATTTTAATGTATTTTTAAATAATACAATGGAGGAATTATAATTAAAATATTAAAAGTTAATATTATTTTTCAAGTTTAGGATAATTTGTATCTGATTTAATTGATTTATTGTTTTAATGTACTGTAAATAGTTCAGTTGCAATTCAAGCGTATAGTACGTTTATTAGTATTTCTCTTGACTGTATTGCTTTTATTGGACTGGTTGATGATGAAGCAGCAGCGAGTCCAGTGGCCCAGATGAACATCCGGGTTTCCCGCTGGCACCGCTGCTGTGGCTCGCAGGAGCCATTTTGGACGCCGTTCAGCTTTTCGCATGTCAGTCCCTTCTGCCCCCTCCAGCTGCCCCGGCAGAGGGGGAGAAACACACACACGGACTCACACAAGGGGGCTTCGCTTCTACTCCAAGCGTCCAAACTCACGCGCCCACCGAGAGCTCGTACATGCTGCTGCTGTCCGGTCAGGGACTACCTCTCCGACCGGCGCGCTTCTTCTGAGGGATACATTGTGTTGCAGTGAAGAGCTCGTGTTGTTATTGTAGCGGTGAAGAATTGCGTGCAGGCCCGCGGCTCCTTCGCGTTCATGTGTTTCATCTCATTCTTAAATGCTTTCACGGCATAAAGGACAACATTTATCGCCAGGATCCTCGAGGGAAGGAACATGTTTGTTAACTGGCTGAGTTTTGCACTCGTCTGGTGCACAGGTGAGGCGTTCGTTTACAGAGATTTGGTTCATTTTCAATCAAAACGATAGTATCTTGTGTGGCTGGCTGTGTTACTAAACCTAGTCACAATGCCTATCTAGACAGCATGCTAGTTTGCAAGTGAAGCACTTAATGCTACCTATGTAGGCAGCGCGCTAGGTTTGGAGACACAGCCAGCGTTACCAAACAAATCCGCTGAGTGTTGGTCTCAGTGTAAACCGAATTAGTTGTTCATTCTTTTAACTCACGTGGGTGTTTTGATATATTTCGTTATTTAGGTTTGATCCAGCTCGAGTAGGTTGTTTTATAGTTGCTTGTGTGATATTTCTGGATGTTTAAAGGCATCGTGGGCACAAAGAACAAAAGTAAAACAGCTGGTTTGTTGAAACAATTGATCTCCACAAAACAACAACTTACGGTTTCACCTCATGTTTTCATGTAACGTTTGGTTTCCCAAATTGGTTTGTTTTCATTGCAGGTTTATAAGACATTTTAGATATAAAATACTAAGCATTTATCATTTCTTTAGGTGGCTGGGATTGTTGCCTTTATATGGTCAGTGCGTTTAATCCTTGTTTGTAATAATATGTGGACAAACATCACCTGCCAAAAGGCACATTTATTTAATATTTAAAGCATTTTTTTCTATTTTGTCATGAGCTGCCATGGCAGATTAGGTGTTTATTATTCAAAACAGTAGTGCACTTTAACACAATTTAAACAAAATTAGTTGTAATAAAAATAGAAATAATATTTTATCTGTCAGGTTCAGTGCTCAAAATTTAAAATATATCCAAATCATAATAAAATATAAAAAGTTGATCATTGGTTTTAATGTGTCAGAAAGACACAGTAAAGAACAAATAAATGGTTAAACAAAAATGTTAATAAATGGTTATTAATAATAATGGGTTGAGCACTAAGTTGTATTAAAAAAGACGAGGCAAATAAAGATTAGTTCACATTAATAATACATTGGACTTTGGTTTAAGTGACAGAAGTTGGTTAAAATATTATTCGGGTATAATAAAAGCATCAGGCCAACTTGTGTAAAAAAGAAAAAGAGAATGAGCCAAAATAAATAAATAAAAACAAAATAATAGAAGTTTAGAAATGTCCTTTTCTTTTTATTTATTTTTATTTTGTGTATGTAATTTTATTGACTTAAAAGTGTGTTATGTATATATGTGTGTGTGTATATATATATATATATATATATATATATATATATATTGTTGTTGTGCATCAAATATATTAAAAACTGCCCTTTTATGTTCCTACTTTAGATTTCACTTTTAGTCCAGTCTGTTTATTTGACCAGGAGACAAAGCATTGTGCTTTGTTCAGTTATTGATGTTGATGTATTGATTTTGATCATTGTTTTATGAGAACAGTGAGGAGATCTTCTTATCCTGAAAGCTGATTTGTAATGGAGTCCCTTACGGGTCACTGTGAGGAGGAAACCCCCTCAAAACAAAAGAGTCTTTGATACACTCTCTAGATCAGTGTGTGTGTGTGTGTGTGTGTGTGTGTGTGTGT